GCTTTGCTAATGACAGCATTCTACATGCAGGAATTCATAGCGACAAGCCTATCTCTGCCGTTGAGCTGCCCGACTTCCTATCTGACGAGAGGTTATCACTGCCTGGGGACCCAACAATCTTGTCCAGTTAAATGCTTTTAAAACATAGTACTGACGAACAAAAAGTGTCCCAGCTCTCAACCGGTTTCGATGGATGGCCGAGTTCTGCCAAAGAGCTGTGCACTTCGGCTGGTCCAAATGACTGGAGACTTGATCTGGTAAATAGCGGCAGTTGCTGGGAAATAGATAGACTATTTGTTTAGACCTAAGAAGTACTTTTCTCCACATGACCTCCTCAATCCATACAAGGCCCAGATAAAACCTAGCCTCGAGTATTGCTCACATGTTTGGGGTGTTGCTGGCTCAATAACATTATCCATGCTCAATGCTGTTCAGATGGGGGCTGTCCGACTGATCGATGACTCTTCAGAAACCAGTGCTAAGGAAAAAAAAAGGAAGAAAAGGGGACGGAAGGGAGACTTCAATGACGAAGAAGAGAATCTTTTAGTATAGGAACCGTTTAGGCATTGTTGAAGTAAGTTGACAAATTGTAACATGGTCTAAAAATTAATTTTTATAAGGGCTTTGTTTTTGCGGACTTCCCCGACTGTGTGGTCCGCTTATTTGGAGAGCCGCTGCGCCTGCTGCTTAATGTAGTATGTTAGGTGAGGGACGTCAAAGTCTCTGTGAAGAGTCAGTGAAAGTCAGTAACAATATATCAATCTCCTTTTCTTGGAAGGATCTATTCGGATATTTAATAAGAAAATTGTATCAACTTTAGTACCCACGCCAATTGGCGATGAAGCACAAATATGGAAAGTGAAATATTTTCTTTGGTTACATGGTATGTACATCATCAAAAACCATGCCAGTCATTTCCATCGGTCTGTCTGTCTGTCTGTCCCCTAATCCTGACCTCTCTGTAACTCGCTAACTAACGCTCGCGGAGGAAATTTTGACATAAGGTATCTGACTACTATGCCAATGTCGAAAAAGCTTTGTACGTAAAAAATCGCTCAAACCTAATGTTTGAGGATTTTTTTGAGTGGTTGAAACTTGGCGGTGCATTGCAAGGTGTCGGGGAGGCTATACCTCCATTCTTTGCGATAGTGTATTTATTTTTAAGCCTCAGTAACTGTACGCACCTTTAAGACATATTGCAGGCATAGAACGAAATATAATTACAAATATTTTCAATATTCCCGTGGAGCGCAACGAAGACATAAAAAGCCTTTCGCTAGCTGACCCCTGCGTTGTTGAGGTTTAGTAGTATCAAGTTTGCCTTTGTTTAGGTAGGGCAGCGTGGATATTTTTAGATCGCAACGTTATCAAATGAGTAGGTAGTAGGAACTAATTGCTATATGCCTATATCTGACTGACTCGGTCGATTTATCTCTTCTGTCAGACACGTTCGTAGTGAACTTTTTTCTAAGACGGGTTTACGAGGGATGTCTTTTAAGTTTTGCATATGGAGACATAGTAGGCCGCGCGGATCGAACGTCAATACTGAATCTCAACTTCACTCTTTAGTAAACTTAAATTCAAAGTTTCACAACAATACGTGCAGTGTTCTCACTACAGTGAATTTTTAAGTGTCACCAAGTCATCAGAAAAATGGAACTCAACCGAGAACATTTTCGCGCAATAATTTATTACAACTTTCAGGGAATTCAAACGTGGACGGGTGAGTCTTAGTGACGATCGCAGGGTGGGTGCACCAAAACCGGCAGTCACCCAGGAAAACGTCGACGCTGTGCGCAAACTCATCATTGAAAATAGACATGTTACATATCGCGAGATTGAGGCGACCTTGAAGATCTCAAAGATCTCAAATCAAAAAAATGTACATAAAGAATTAGGAGTAAGAAAATTAGTTTCTCGTTGGATACCCCACCTGTTGACTGAAGAGCAGAAAGCAGCCAGGGTTAACTGGTGTCAAAAAACGCTTGACCGTTTTAATTCCGGAAACTCAGAAAATGTGTACAACATTGTTAGTGGTGATAAATCGCGGATTTACTGTTATGAACCAGAAAATAAACGACTGTCGGCTGTTTGAACAAAAGCCAAAAAAAGTCACCCGTTCTCGAGGTGTTTCGAAAAAGATGGTCGCGACATTTGTGTCAAAAGCAGGTCATATTGCAACAATTCCTCTTAATGAGCCAAGAACTGTTACTGCCGATTGATATACCACCATTTGTTTGCCAAAAGTCATCACCGAGCTTTGAAAAATCAACCCCGAAAGAAGAATCATTCTCCACCAAGACAATGCAAGCTATAACACAGCCAAAAAAACAAGGCAGTATTTAACAGAAGAAAACGTGGAATTATTGGACCATCCTCCATATAGTCCCGATCTAAGTCCTAACGATTGTTTACTTTCCCGAAAATTAAAACAGGCTGCGTGGTCAAAGGTTCCAGTCACCAGAAGAAGCAGCTGACGCATTAAAAAATGGCGTTTTGGATCTGCCAGAAAACGAGTGGAATAAGTGCTCCGAAAATTGGATCGAGCGCATGTAGATGTGTATTAATCTTCGTGGAGAATACTTCGAAAAACAATTAAGTCATTTAAAACTACCTACCGTTTTGTTTCATTTCCATATACAAAACTTAACTACTTTTGCGAGCATAATTTGTTATCAACAATTTTATATATTGCGGATCGTAAATATCCACTTAATGAACAAGGGACGTAAATTCGCTATTAGAAATTGACAATTTGCCTATCCTGAGGCAAACTCTGAATCCGCGTTCATGGCCGTGACATATTAATTTTTGTAGAAAAAATCCAGTAGAAAATTTAGAGGTACATTCTTATTCTGTATTTTTTGAATTCAGTTACAGTAGCCGGATGTAACAGCTGATTAGTCTTGACACCCCCTGTTAATTCCCGGGCTGTTTCGGAGCTTAATGGAACCAAGGGCGAGGCAAATGCGTTATTCCGCGAAATGGAAACAAATGAACGTCGACCACCAGCGGTTATAAAAGCTCTGACTAAACATTGTATTTTGGTAAAGTTTGTTTTGCACTTGAGATCGTTACTGGATTTCTTATACTGTCCAAGTTTATAGCAAGTTTAGATTCGAATGTTTCAAGTCTTTGCAGGTTTTTCACCCGCAGGCTCAGTCGGCTCTTTGATTTTAGTTTGGAATAAGTCATTAGTTTGTGTACGCTAGTGTTTCTATTCAAAACGCCCATCTACTAGAGAATGACATGATCGAAAATTTATCCATCTCGACTTAAGCAACAGGTGCAGAAATTCTTAACTGTTGCAGTCATAGTCTCAGAAGTGCTTTCAGGACTTGACATGCTGGTTCCAGAAAGTAATTCTGAATTCGAAGAAAGTGACGATGAAACTGAGCCTCCACCACCACAAAGACGATAAACTGAATCATATTCTTGGATTGAAGCTGACATAGTTTCTACTAACATACCTTCACCAGACTCTCCTGAACCTGACAACATTGCAGTTCCCATTGAGTATTTTACAAAGTTTTTTCATTTGATCTAATGGATAAAGTAGTCTATCAGACAAATCTTTATAGTATTCAGCAACTTGGGCAATGTATTGATACAAATCCGTCAGAAATATCGGATTTTCTATCTATTCTCTTGATTATGGGTGTAATAAAACTTCCTGCCATAGAAGATTTTTGGGCAGCTAGTACAAGAGTAGATCACGTGGCCAATATAACGCCTCTGAATAGGTTTCAGAAACTAAGACGGTTTATCCATTTCAATGATAATACTAACATAACAGACCAGACAAAGGATCGATATTTCAAAATTAGACACATTAGAAATTGTATGCAAGAACTGTTATAAACTCCAGTTTGAAAATCAATACTCAATTGATGAAACAATGGTGTCTTACAAAGGCACATATGCGGGCAACTTGAGGCAGTATATCCAAAATAAACCCCACAAGTGGAGGTTTAAATTTTTTATTCGTGCTGGGGTTTCAGGTTATATTGCCGACTTCATACCCTATCAGGAAGCTGCGACATTTGAAGTGCTTAGAGGATCTCCGAATGAGTTAGATGATTATGAAGTAAATCTAGGTGTAGGTACTAGCGCCATCATTTCTCTGTGCAAAACCCTAAGCGAACCGAAAAACGCTGTTATATTCTGTGACTGGTTTTCAAGTGTAAAATTATTTATTAATTTGAAAGACCGATTCGTGATACTTAGCTTAGGAACTATAAGGACTAACAGAATAGCTAGATGTCAACTTGAAACCGATAAAGTGCTTCAAAAAAGGGGAAGAGGTTCCTACGTTTATAAAGCAGATACAGACAAAGGTATAATAGTAGTAAAATGGACTGACAATAAATGTGTTCTACTAGCAAGACATTCTGAGGCTTAAATCCCGTAAAATCGATAAAAAGATATTCGAAAGTGGAAAAGAAATAAATTACCATCCCTTGTCCATCCGTTATAACGCAATACAATAAGCATATGGGCGGTGTCGATAAGGCCAATTCATTACTTGGTGTGTATCGCAGTCCAAGCAGATCGGGGGTTCTTGATATGTCAGTGATCAACGCCTGGCTTCTGTATAGAAAGGACTGCAACACAGCACGTGTAACGTCAAAACCGCTAAAGGAGTTCCATATGGAATTAGCCAAATCGTTGGCCAACGCAGGAAAACAAAGTTCTCGTGGAAGACCATCCATTTCCTCGATTAATAAAACCCCTGCGAAAATAATATCAAACCATATACTGCCGAGATAAAGATAAAAAGGTGGCAAAGGTCATTGGCCAACTTATGGTACAAAAGGTAGATGTAGGCACTGTGCCAAGGGATTTACAACAATCTTTTGTACCAAGTGCAATCTTAGGCTTTGTTTCACCCCAAATAAGAATTGTTTCTACCTTTTCCATTCCAATTAGATTTAGCTGTTTCATCACATTGTATTTTGTGAAACTAGAAATATATATTTTGTTTATTTCTTGATATTCGTTTTATAAATAAATGATTTGAAATGTATAGTTATATTTCCATATAAACCAGTGCAATTAGGTTTACCTTTATCGGTCAATGTTGCTTGCAAGTAACAATAGAACCTATACTTTATCTCGCAATGTTGCTTGCAAGCAACTAATTCTAAAGTCATTTTCCCAGGTTATCATAGAAGGGTTTATCTCTGCAGGTTATTTTTCAACTTTTATAATATCTTATGTCATCTATAAATCATAACTGATAACCTATGACAATATTAGATTATTTCAAAGGCAGATACAGGGTTAAATACGTTATAGTAGGTCATAGAAGGTCATGGTCGAGGTCATAATCAAATTGCGTTATTGATATACTGAAACTTTTCTTGAACCTTCGTTTCCAGAAAATGTATTTTTGAAGATTCATCGGGGTATTCGGGTTTTTATATATATTTTGTGTCTCATACGCATACATATGTTGATAAATCTTGTCACGAGTACAGGTTGGCATGAAATAAACGTAATTGTTCGAATTTCTTATAACCATATTTCAGGAAGAATTATAACAAATTTAGTGAGCAACAGCGAGATTTCATGCTTTAGGATTGCGATTCCATAATGGCTGTTATCTTTCAAGTAGGCGATGTTTCTTGGCTGACAGATAAAACTCAAAAGGAACAGCCCAGACGCGGCTAAATGCGGTGAATATAGATGTTGTTATAATTGCTCTAAGCCAAATAATGTAGCACCTTGTGAAGCTTCAGATTTGGATAGCTTAACACAGCGTTCGTTAAAAGATGTTGCGGTATTATTCGAGTTTGAGCTCCAGTAACGGAAACTGGACTTTCTTATAAACTTTCGCGTAAAAGTTCCATCCATAAGTACTATGCATCGTCTTCTAGCGCTTCGAAAGTTCACTATTGAGATGGCTTAATCTTGGTAATGAGTGTTCCCAAGCTTTAAGTTGAGCTGTGTTGACATACACGCTGAGGCAAAATATCAGACTCAGGATTTGGAAAATAAGATACATCCATTCTGATTCTTTGACCCGTGGTGTCACGTTTCATAACCTCAAATACTTCAAGCCTTCTCCTTAAAAATAGACACTAAATTTTAAGATATAGATGTTGACTTTGCGCCACCCTGTAGCTGCAACTAATGATGGGCAACTGGTTGCTGCGACTAGTAGTCTAGCCTGTGGAGGCTCCAAGGATCTTTGCCAATGATGATGTATTAGACATACCATTTCCCAGAATAATTATTAGGTAATAAGGAGGGAGATACAGAAGGAAATGGAGTATGCCACAGTAAGAGCTTCCAAAGTTGATGCAACAAGTAATGATGTATATCTGCCAACAACTTCCTCTGAGGCTTTCGAAAGTATTATGGAAGCTGTCGGATACATTTTTTAAGTTTAAAGAAACGTACTACTTTATGCATGATAACGGATGACATCATATTCACGTTAAAAAAGTTTTCGAGACTTGGAAGCATGTATTGAATACATGATGATTGATGTATTTTTCACTGTAGCATAACGGACCCCACAGTTTTCCTACTGCATGTAAATGTATTGCATATTTGACGAGATCACTGGAAAATTTCCTCTATCCATTCTCCAACTTCAAGGACCTATCAGCATGGATACAGTATTTTCATATCTTTGAATATTATTTTAAGCTTCAGAAGCATTGGAGTTTCCGTCCATCTTTTGGTGCCTGTATCTTCTATTACTGTTGGTTTTGAGAAACATCAAAAGTAAGGTATCTACATATATGTGCGGCTGAGTGAGGTGTATGACGATAAAAAAGAAAACAAATGTTGGTAATACTTACCAAGTTTTCACATAAATAGAAACAGGCTGATGTTTCTAGTGGTACTGCTAAATTTACCTCAACGACAACGCCAGCGTAATGAAGTGATGGGAGTATCGGTTAATCGCAGGTATTTACGATTTGGTATGCCGTACCTTTGGACCTTTCAAAGCCTTTCTATCTAAGAGAGGCAATACAAAATTTACTTTGCTAAGAAAAAGGCGTCAAGTAAGTTGACTTTGTACTTTGCACGCAACGCAGTCAGCCCAAATTAGACCCTATCGAAAAACGACAGCGCCATAGACCTTATATCCAGAATAGAGGATGGTTGCTATGTTTTCGTTTGTTGTCCTAGAGACCAAGCGTAGACCATACAGATGAGTTGCGAAAAAAGCAAGGCACAGCTGTCCATGGTTGGCTGTCTATTGTCGGACGAACGAAGGCAGCACGTTTAAGTAGGTTGACTCTGCACCTCCTACGCAACGCTGCCATCAAGTTGCAAAAAAAATTAGCTACCAACATGTATAACCAGAAAATTCCCCCTTGCCCTGAGAAAAATTCCTGCGGGTGAACTTGATGGATACTATTTATACAGGGTGACTTTGAAGTTGAGTCATTAATTTTCAGATGATGATTGTAGAAGGAAGATAAACCAAAATATGTGTGTAAAAATTAAAAAAAAATTAAAAAAAAATTTACCTTGTTACCTTATAAAGTATCTCCCGACAAGTATTTCAGTGCAGACCTGTATTTGATCGTGAGGTCGTGGAGCACCGGCATGCCGTCCATATGTGAGGTCTTAAGTCAAATGATTCACGAACCCGTTGTACTACATTAACAAAGGCACGAGGGGTTGGTTGCACTCGATTGGGAAACCGATCCGCATAAACATGTGCCATTTTTTATTTCGTTTGAGCCACGCAACAGACACCACTATCCACTACCGACTGACACTGACTGTATACAACTGAATGAAATAATTGTAAAAACATCGTTCCAAATTCTTTCGCTTTTTTGTTTCCGATGCGATGAACCGATAAGGCGAATTATATCCGTTGTCGCCAAACACGAGCACATAATATTATTATTGAGACAGGGCGGTACTCAAACTTCCAAAGGGCTATAACTTTGTTACTTTAATTTTACCAGAAAAATGGTAAAGGAAAAAAACATTTCTTTTGATCAGATCTACTCACTGTTAAAATAAATGACTCAACTTCGAAGACACCCTGTATATCTCGCGTGGATGACGATCGACGATCCACACTCAGTCGAGCAGCGGATGTCGATTGCCACAGACATGCATTGGCAAGACCGTGAAGCGTATACTCGACACGCGAGAGTCGGAAAAAACTTCTCCATCATTCCAAATTACAAGAATAAACGTACGAGGAGATCTATGACGATATTCCAGTCAGTAGTCATGCTTGGAGATTATCGGTCACACCAATCAAGTACCTCTAACATCTCACAAATGCCTGCTTAGACGCTTACCGGTAAACTAAATACAGGGTGGATTCTGGCTGACTGGTTTGTATCTTGAACATTTGTGAATCGTGGTCGTTGATGAATGACGCGAGATTCTCTTATGCCGAGATACAATAATTCTGCTTATTAACAAATCCGTTCATATCGAAGTGTGCGTCATCGCTCATTATCAGTTGCCGGTAAAAACCGTTATTTTGGGTATTAGTCTGCAATATTCCATGACTGTACTGTCGGCGCCTTTCATAATCACTAGGCATCTTGGGCTAACTGAATTTTGTATGGCCGCAAATGCAAGTCTTTTTTTAAAGGTAGTGACATGCGACGGATGCCCAGTTCTTAAGAACGATGTCTGGTAGACGTCTCAGGGCGCTCCACTACACTTTCAAGAACTCTCTCGGTATTAACCTGTTTGCTCAAATTCTTGCACCAATTGACGAATGGTGTTGACACTGGGCAGATTTTTTAGACCGAAATCTTGTCGTTGCTTACGAATCGTCGCAGCAGTCGGCTCATTATTTAAGTAAAACGTTTTAACAATACGGACGCGTTGTGGTATCGTGTAGTGCTACAGGATGAATTGGGCACATGTGCTTTAAACCACTACTACTGCGACACCTGCTGAAATGCGTGTATCAAAAATAGCACGCAATTTAAATCAGTTAGTTATATATTGGCCACCCTGTATATTTGCTGCACAAAAATGTGGAATTTGTCCTATTTAACGGCCAACAGTGATCATACGAAATGCTAAATGTTGAATGTATTTGAACCCTAACATACATGTGTTTATATCATTTCATATCATTTACTTTATGCCGACGATTTAAAAATGTATAACAATATCCTAACTTCCGAAAACTGTAAGTTTCTTCAAAATGATTTCGATATCAATTCTTGGTGTTCCTACACTAAATGTGTTAAGATGTAAAGGAACATATTGTAGTATATATGAAGTAACAGTTATAAAGACCTAAGTGTTACATTTGATGCCAAGTCCATTTCTAAATATATTACATCATCTGCTTTCAGAATGCTATGGTAGTGTGATAGAAAATGATCAGGTTTCTCGAATGTTGAAGCAATCAAGCTTGTATATCTAACATATATGTTATGCATAGCGTATCTGGGCACCTATGTATCAAAACTTCATTAGCGGATTAGAATCTATTCAATGAAGAGGATTAAAGTATATTTTTTACAAATGCAATGGTTTCTATCCACGTAATGTATTGCTCAAAAATTTTTATATCAAACCGCTTGAAGTACGCCGAAATATTTCCGCTCTGACTTTTTTGTTCAGTTTACTCCTCAATAAGATTTATTGTCCATATATTTTAAGTAAGATATGAGTTAATGTTACTCGATCAAGAAACAGTTTTTGTGCTATATTTTACTGTGATTTCTGCCACACCAATGTTTTGTCCAACCCTCCAGTTCATAGGATGCGTACAAGTATTAATAGGTGCGAAATATTTAATGACACTGAAACTTGCATCATCGAACTTTACCTTGATGAAGTTGTACGGTAGTATATTACTGTAGATTATTTACTTATATATTGTTATTCTTATCTATGTATCTGTTTACTGTGCTTTATTGATATTTATCGATATTTCCTGCAATTGAGTATATCTGCCTGTTGGAACTAAACGCTATTATTATTATATTGCTCATAGTGCCAATGCCCAAATGCCATTTTTATTTTTTGACTGTTGCTCTCCTAAGTCGGCCAATTACCCCGTTCTACTCGTAGTTCCAGCCAATTGTCTGTGTAAAGCATTCATTTATTATTTGTTATGGAGGAAATGTATTCTTTTTACCTTTATCATCGAACCTAATGAATTCTGACTAGCAGCATAACAAAAAAATGACGCAATTAGCTCTAACGTAATGCAAGTGTCGACAGAGAAAATTCTAGTAAAGCGCGCAACTGAAAACAGCCATGCCAATTACATTAAGAATATATGATGTTAATTCTTCTTCATTAACG